GGAAGAATTTTTTAAAAACATTAATTTCATTATTGGGTTTCCTAGTGTTCTCAGGATAAAGTTTGTTATTTCTTATGTGATTTACGATTCATTATCTCACCCCTTATAGGCTCAGCTCTGAACACACTGTTGCTCACATGCCCTCGATGTAATTAACACTTTGCTTGCCATGTTTTTCATTTGTCTTAAAACATCTGCACATATGGTTTCCACTAACTTGAAATTCTATTTCCTTTAAAAAACATTCTCTAATTCTTCAAATATAAATTCTATACCCCCATCTCTGCCATACATTCATAGATTGCAATGTATACTTTTTTGTCTTCCCTGTTCATTTTCCTATATTCTTCATTAGATATTAAGTTCCATGAGAGCAGGGACCATGCCTATCTAGTCAAATCAAACATATCCCCAGTGTCCAGCCAGAATCAGACATGTGATAAATGCTCAATAGTTATTTTTTTGAATGAGAGAATGAAACAAAGAAGGAAGGAAAAAGAAACTATCTCTTGGTTAAGTGAGAATTCAACACTAAGGATTGTCTCACTCAAAAGCTCAAACTCGAGAGGGAGGAAAGAAGGCTGACCAGAGACCCCAGCTGCAAGAGTGTCTCAGTAAGAAGAAGTTTTAGATGAAAGAGAAAAAATGAACAGAGAAACAGAGATTGGGTGTGGGTCTGAGGGAAGGGTGCCAAACCTTCAGGAGACTCCATGGGAAGAAATTGTGGAGCAGAACAGGAAGAAGCAAGGTATCAGCAGAGATCAAACCCTGAGAGGATTGGAGTCCAGTGAGAAGGGTAGGTGAGTGGTTTATTTCTTCCTCCCTTGCATTTCTGACAGTCGGTGGATTCCCAAGCTGTTGGAGAGACTTACTGCCCATAGGAGCTCAGAGGATGCTGCTACCAGTGACCTGGGAGCTTCTTGTAGACAGGGCACCAGGCTTCCAGCCCCCCTGGGGTGCCTCCTGTCTTCACAGACCTGAGCTGGGACAGCAAGCACAGTATTGTTTCTCTGCCCACCATGTGCCTTTGTCCTCTCCAGGGGGCTTCAACTCTTCAGCTTTTGTCTTACTCGTTCCCACACAGACATTTCCCAACTCTGGCCCAGACCATAGGAACCATGGGGGTCCAGTGGTCCTGGGTGATTTGTGTGACTCCAGTGCCTGGACATCCTGGGTGGGTGGCTTCCCAGAGGGAGGGGCAGATATGACCAGAGTGCTAGCTTTCCTCCATTCAGACACATTTTGTCCTCTTCCTCTCCCCCATCTACAGCTGCTAAGAGAGATAATTGAGCCACCACACCAAGGCTTCCACAGAGAGTGGGGCTCAGATCATACCTCTTGGGGTCTTGCAGCAGAATGAGAGGTGCTCAGACTGTTTGCTCCCTGACTGCTGGCCCACCCTGGTGCTGCTTGCCCTGTGACTCCATCAGAGTGGCACACGCCCCAAGGCAGAGGGACAACAAACCTGCTTAGGCACCTTGTGGGCAACTCAGGACCAGTGTGCTTCTTCATGGCATGGTCAGGGATTGACCTTAGTGGACCCAGGGACTGGCCCACAGGCCAGTTCCTGTACCCCCAGGTCTTGATCATGTTGCATGCGGGCACAGAGGGAACATTTACGAATTAGTCTTGGGAGGCAAGGGAGTCCACATAGGCAGATCAGGGGGACAGTGTAGTGTGGGTCCTAGTTGCAGTGTGCTCTCAGGGGACCCCTCTCCCCCACAGGAGGGCTGTGCTCTCAGCTCAGCTGGGAACCTGGGCAGGGAAACTGCTGGCCCACATCACAGTCATGGGAGAGCTTGGCTGGCTTGAGTGTGTACCAGCCAGTGGATGCCAAGGGGAAACTGCAGAGCAGGGGAGGACAGAGAGAAGTAAGACCCACTCCAGATTGCTAGACTTTCAATCTCAGATGGCTCCTCCCCCATAAGCAGACTTTCTGGTTCGGTGGAGCCACTTCAGCCCCTCCCTAGCAGCTTAGCCCAGAAGGTGGGAGCAGACCTTTGCCCCCTGCTGAAATAGACACCTTGCCAGCTTGCCACAGGAGCCTGAGGACAAGCTTACCCAACCCAACTTCACCCAGCCATACTCCCCCACCTA